TTTATTTAGAAAGAGGTTTTAGAAGGAAAAAGCCTTTGTCTGACAGTCTTTTAGATGGCATTAAAGATGGTAAAGATGGGTCATTTTGAGAAATGAGCAGGAAAAATTAATTGAGATCAGAGGCAAGGTGTACATGAGGGCCATGAGTTGCAGCTTGGCTTCTACTGAGCATGCTCCCAGGGACTGAGCATGCTTAGTAACATCTGCTGAAGCCGCTGTTCTGTCTGCCCCTCCGCTATTAACAAGTATGGGCCACCTTTCACTGAGATAGGCTGAAGCTGTCATTAAATTTTGATCCCATTTCCTAGAAGACAAACACAAGACAAAGGTACACAAGAGGAAAGAACTGCAACGACAGAAAATGCAGCTTTTCTCTCTGATGTTGACTGTCACTTACAACCCCATGGGTGGAGAAACACAGGCAGAGCACATGGTCTGATCAGCCACTCCATGTACCAGCATCTTGTACCAGCACGGGGCTGGTTAGTGCATGGTTTTTCCTTACCTCTTTCTGGTCAGAGACTTGCAGTAGTGTTGCAAAGAGACTCTGTTGACTTAGCTGGCTAAGCCAGACTCTTAGTAGATAGAAGAGAAATGGAGAGGGATAAGAGAGATGAGGAAGAAGGAACATACAAGAGGGAGGGGGAAGGGACGAAAAAGACAAAGTCTCACCTCCCAGGTGGCGTTTGGGATTCGGCTGGAGCTGGTTAAAGTGATAAAAACATCTGGGTCTCTTTCTGGTCAATGTGGTCAGGCAGAGTGTGTCTAGACCACAGGGTTTTCTCACAAAAGTTGACTTTTGTTGACAAAACTATACCTGCGTCTACACTACCGCCGAGTTCTGTCGACAGTAAGTCGACAGAACGTGGCAGTTTTGTCGACGGTGGTAAACTTCATTCTATGAGGAATAACGCCTTTTGTTAATAGAGTTCTGTCAACAAAAGGTGCTATTGCATCCACACTGGGCTTTTTCAAAAGAAAGTGTCTAGACTCTCTGTTGAAAAAGCGGCTTGCTTTGTCGACAGAAGTGGCTGTAGTCTAGACACTCTTTGTCGACAGAGGCTTTGGCAACAGTATCTGTCGCCAAAGCCTCTGTTGACAAAAGCCTGTAGTCTAGACGTAGCCACATTTAGGATGAAGAAGGTTCAGCATCCCAGAAAAACCTTACAAACTGTTCTTCCTAGAACTGCTGCCATGTTTGTCTTCTGTTACAAGAATGCAAATCCTTCCTGACTGGTTAATGGGGATTGTTGCTTCTGCCCATTACATTCACCTCCTTATTAGCAAACTACTGCTCCTTTCTGTTTTGCCCTGGACCTAATGCATTAATAGTATTATTTACCTGCATTGCTATAGTGCCTAGGAGGACTAGTGAGACATCAGGATCCCTTTGTGGGAGGTGCTCTATCAACACATAGCAACAGGACAATTCCTGCCCTGGTGTGTTTACAGTCTGCCTTAGATTAGCAATAAACAAACATTTCTTGCAGGCCTGGTAAGAAGAAACTGCACAGTGAAAGGCTGGACTGACCCATTTCCATCCTACCACATTGCCTGTCCAATAAATGATGAGATTCCCATTGAGGAAGTAAGTCTATTTGAACAAATACCATTTAGAAATGGGATGATGTTAGTCAGATGCCTTTCTGTTTCAGAGGTTCATGGGGTGGAGGGGAAACTACGTTGAAGCAACAACATTCTCACAAAGTATAAAATGCCATTGTATTTTTACTCTGTCCACTCTCTTTGAGAAAATATTGGTGACATTTTAATACAGGTTAAGAGAGCAGTGATATAGGCACCTACTACACGTAAAAAGCTGTGTCAGAATAATATAAGACCAAATCTTCAGGTGTTGCAAATTCTTGTAGCTCTCCTGAATGGCATGGACACACACCAGCTACAGATCTGGTCCAAAATGTTTGCAAAACCTGGGATTAATACTTCAGTTGTACTCAGTGATCAGTCTGAGATGTTGATAGCACTTGCTGCAGTGATAAGGCAAACATATCCTCTTTTCATCAACATTGCAGACAAATGATAATTTAATCACTAGAAGATGCTGGATTCCTGCTCCTCACCTTGTTTAAAGAAAACAAGTCATTTAAAGAAAATAATAAGCAGCCATAACAAAGCAAGAGGAAATCTGGGCAGAGAAAAATGCCAGGACTAGATTCTGGTCTCTCTTACACACGTACAAATCTATTGACTTCAGCAGTCAGTCTGGATTTACACCTGTGTAGGTTAGATAAGTATTTAGCCCATGTTTTCAATTTGATTCCCAAAGCCATTGTCCCTTTCATCTTGTCTGCTCAGAAAAGGTTTCCCACTTTGACTATACCTTGTGTTTCCACTGGCATCGCTATTTATGTACAGGAAAGGGAATAAGCTATACTGGTATATGGCACCTTAAGAACAGCATCGTTGCATACAATCTAAGCCATATCTGGTAGAACTCCCAAATGCAGATAGTCACACCAGCAAAGCTGTACTCTGACTAGTCTTTCACGGGAGGTGATGTTTCAATATCAGCTCAAACCATACTGTTGCTGGTATAAGCTGCATCCACACTAGGAGGGTATGTCTACATTGCATTCCTCCTTCGAGAAAGGAATGCAAATGCAGACAAACGAAATTGCAAATGAAGCACGGATTTGAATTTCCCATGCTTCATTTGCATAATGGTGGCTGGCTGCTTTTCTGAAATAGCCTATTTCGAGAAAAAAAACAGAGTGAGGGTTATTTTGAAGGAGGGGTTTCTTTCCGAAATAACTCCATTTTTTTCTTGAAATACACTATTTCGGAAAAGCAGGCAGCCGCCATTATGCAAATGAAGCACAGGAAATTCAAATCCGTGCTTCATTTGCAATTTTGTTTGTCTGAATTTGCATTCCTCTCTCGAAGGAGGAATGCAATGTAGACATACCCGGAGTGTTTTGCTGTTACAATATGCCAGTATTCCCATATTGGTAAAGCACTGCTAGGGTGTGTTTAAGCTACATCCCTCTGCTGACAGAGGGATGTACATTAGGCACTTCGCTTTTGCAAATGAAGCGGGGATTTAAATATCCCATGCTTCATTTGAATAGAAATGGCCGCCGTGGCACTTTGCTGGCAAAAAGTGGCAGTCTAGACGAGGATCGGTTGACAAGGAAAGCCTTTTCCGCCGATCTCTTATGCCTCGTGCAACGAGGTTTACAGAATTGGTCGGGAAAGGCTTTCCTTGTCGACTGATCTCCGTCTAGACTGCTGTTTTTTACCGGCAAAGTGCCACATCGGCAAAAAGCAGCAGCCATTTCTATTCAAATGAAGTGCGGGATATTTAAATCCCCTCTCCATTTGCAATAGTGATGTGCCTAATTTACATCCCTCTGTCGGCAGAGGGGTGTAGTTTAGACACACTCCTAAGAATACACAAAGGATAGGGTTGTACTGTTATCTCAATATCAATAACAAATCAGAATCCTACCTGTTATAATTGTAGTGGTATGAAACCAATATGCCAACTTAGCTTTATGACTGATTGTCCTGTCACTTACTCAGATGTAAATCTGGGTTAACTCCACTGAAGTCAATCAGAAGTCTCTCCACTAGGGTAAAGTGGTAGAAAACAGCAGGGAATCAGACCTTTCTGTTTGTGCCAGCAGATGGTGCTAGTGGAGTGAATGAAAACAAGATGCTGTTTTACTTGGCATTAATTTCACCTGTCAGAGAGAGAGAGAGCTTAGTCAATAATTCCTTCTGTATGGGCTGGATGGATTTTTGTTGTCATCGTCACATTATTTCTTTGTTTGTTAGCATGTTGTTTAACTTGGAACTTGCTTTCCAGCTGGTTGATCTGTAAATGCTGAAATGCACCTCTTGAAATGTTCTTTTCCTTTCTTTTTATTTAGTCCTTCAATGTCTAGTGCACCCCCTCCACACACACACACACCATGAGACTTCGGTTTCCTTTGGCAGTTGCCCTGTTCTTTCATCTAGGTTGATTCTTTGGCCAGCTTGTTCACCCATTTAAGAATTGGATTCTTGATTTATGTGCTTTTCCTTCCTATCTGATTTGCAAGGAGTGATGACCCTAAATCAGCTTTGACACTCTTACTTAGGAGATGGGCCCTCATTGACTCACCTGACAATTTGCTGCTGAGGGTCTTATGTTTGTGTTTTAATTAGACAAATGCACCACAAACTGCTCCCACGATTTTTGTTAACTAGTTAATTGGAATCTAGTATTTCACCACTATAGATATATATATATGGAGATATACCTGTGTCATAGAAGTGGAAGGGACCTTGAAAGATCATTGAGTCAAGTCTCCTGCCCTCACAGCAGGACCAAGTACTATCCTTGATAGATTTGCCCCAGATCCCTAACTGGCCCCCTCAAAGACTGAACTCACAACCCTGGGTTTAGCAGGCCAATGCTCAAACCACTGAGCTATCCCTCCCCCCTAGAATGTCTAGACTACAGAGTTTTTTCAAAAAAAAGTGCCCTTTTTTCGAAGAAACTTCACCTGCGTCCAGAGTACAGTTATGTTCCTTTGAAAGTAAATCGAAAGAACGTGGCACTTCTTTCCAAATTGGTAAACCTCTTTTTACGAGGAAGAACGCCTATTTCGAAAGAGGTCTTTCGAAAAAAGGCATATTTGAATGTGGGGGAGGCAGTTTTTTTGGAAAAAAACAACCTGCCAGAAGTGGTTCTAGGTGCCCTTTTTGTGAGAGAGCATCCTAGCAATCTGGACACTCTCTTTTGAAAAAGCGGATTGCTTTTTTGATCCGCTTTTGTAATCTGGACAGTCTCTTTCGACAGAAACTTTTTTGAAAAATCTCTTTCGAAAAAGCTTCTTTCGAAAAGAGCTTGTAGTCCAGACGTACCCTAGGTGATAGATACAGTATGAACCCTATTATGGGCAAAGGATCCTCTGCTCCCTCTTGCTTTGGGGCTGTACAACAATTTTGAATATCAAACTATTATTATTGCTTAAATGTTATTGAGAGATGGGCTGGAATCAGAACATGAGATTTTAACTGGCTTTCTTCCCCCACATGGGGAGCTGTGCTCCTCCAAAGGCTGCCCAGGGTGACCAATGACTATACAACAGAAACAAATTGGGACTGATGAGACAGATACCTCCAAACTTACTGACAGTTTGGATTCGGATCCAATTCCAGATCCAAATTCTGCATCTTGGGTCCATATCTCATTTTATTTGATGCTTTCTCTAGGGAAGGATCAAGTGAGTTTGTCCAGTTTCCTGCCTATTCAAAAACTTATGTCTGGAAAAAGCTGGATTTTAGGTTCTTTTTGAGAATCATAAAAGTTGATGTTGGGGATAGAGGGAGAAAATATCTAGTAGACAGAGTGGAAATAAGAACAAAGAGCAAACAGTGAAATACAGCTAGAGCAAGGCTGGAAAAGAATTAAAGTGTGTGAGAGAGAATAATAAAAAAATGATTTTTGTAGAGTTGTTATAGTTGTGTCAGTCCGAGGATATTAGAGAGACAAGGTGGTCCAATGTCTTTTATTGAACTAACTTCTGTTGGTGAGAGAGACAAGCTTTTGAGCTATACAAAGTTCTGCTTCAGGTGTGAGGAAAGTACACAGTGTCTCAGCTAAATACAAATTGGAACAGATGGTTTAGCATATGTAGTTAATACATATTCTAAAGGATCAGTCGAGGTGAAGTTGGCCATTGCAAGCCCCCCAGTCATAGGACAAAATGATACATTGTGCATGAACACAACAGCTATTAGTCCAGTTATTGAGGAGTTACCTCTAGCTCTAATACAAGGCATTAGTCTGCCAGCAACTAAGATGGCATGATGTTAAATCCAGTTCTCTTGAGGTCAACTGGACTTTTTCCAGTTACTTCAGTGGGGTCTGGATTTCACCCAGGGATTCTCTACAATTGTTCTCGCAAAACAAGAGTGGGTTTAAACTGAAGCCCACAAAGCTTTGTGAACTCAGATAACTGCCATTTGAAAACCCCTTGTAATACAACGATTGGTCTGGTAGCACTTTATAGACTAACAAAACATGTAGATGGTATCATGAGCTTTCGTGGGCACAACCCACTTCTTCAGATGACCGGAGTTTTGAGTTTAGGATGTGCAGACCCAAAATAAATAGGAGAGAAGGGGCATGAGGGGGCGGGTGGGAGAGAGATCCTAAACTCAAAATCCGGTCATCTGAAGAAGTGGGCTGTGCCCACGAAAGCTCATGATACCATCTACATGTTTTGTTAGTCTATAAAGTGCTACCAGACCAATTGTTGTTTTTTTCCGTACAGACTAACTCGGCTACCCCCTGATGCCTCATAATACAGTTTGAGAGAATCACCAAACCTTGCAAATCATGAGATTCATCCTTCCCTGCTTGTTACCCATCTTCCTTGGCCTTCTATCTTGAAATTCTGCCATACTTACCTGAACTTTTTATCATAGTGAGAATATTGAGGTTTAGTAAATGAGTGAGGATGAAGGATTTACAGGAAGGATGAATATAGACCAATTGTGGTTGAACAATCTATTCCAAAAGAGAGTCAAATTTTGACAAGAAACCCAAACTGGGACATACCTGCATGGGTTCAGAGAGTATAAGCTTGAAAGACAGTGCAGTGTCATGGAAAGACTTACAACATTTTGAGCACTTTTTTTTGTGAATTTGGACCCAATTTCAAGCATTCCTAGGCCTGCTGATGGTTTTCCAGCACAACCATGAAGAGTACATAGAGCTTCATGGTTTGGATATGAAATCTGGTGAAACACAAATGATTCCAGCTGAGTTGTGCTTTGAGAGCACACATGAACCCTCAAAACAGGGGAAGTCAGGAGTGTGAGCTGAAGCCAAGGAAGAGATTTTTATGCTCAGCAAACCCAAACCACCAGATGCTGTGCAGCTTCTTTTACTTTTCTTTTCATTAAATCTGATGTGACATGTTCCTTCTCTTCTTATAGCAATCCTATTTCTCTACTGTAAAGATCATCTACACGGTGGGGTACAGCATCTCCATCTCCTCCCTCACCCTTGCTGTGACGGTTCTTATTGCATTCAGGTAAGTTTATGAACATTTGCACTGGGCCCAGAAAAAAAAAAAAAAAGAATAGACTGACATTAGGTTAATGCAGTGTGCTGGACGCTGTGGGCACAGCGATTTGCAGATTGATGCCGGGCAGAAATATCTGTTGTTTGACAACACAGTTTCAAGCCCCGCTGGAAATGGTGAGCTGCAGCTGTAGAACACTTCTGAAGATCAGCCTCAAAATACAGGTTGGACCTGCCTGGTCCAGCACCCTTGGGACCTGACTGAACCTGGATGAGGGATTTTTCCAGACCAGGGGAGGTCATTTCTGCCTCTCCCTGCTGCAGGCCTCACCTTCTGCCCTACTGCACCATTCGGCTTCCTGATTCCCCCAGTAACCTAGCTGGGTCATGTACACTGGGCTTCCCATCCCACCACACAGCCCAGGTGGGCCATGTGCTGGGCTTCTCGGCTCCCCCACCCTCAGCTGAGCTGTGTGCCAGCTCCTGGCCCCTCTGGGCAGCCCAGCTGAGACACACACCAGGCTCCCACCATCCCTGAATCACGCTGGGTTCCCATCCCCCCCTTCCAAATGATGCCAGGACTCCAGCCCCCTGCCCCCTCCATCCTCCACAGCACACCAAGTCTCTCTGATCCTGGAACATTCATGGTGCTGCTGGACCACAGATGTTGCCAGACCAGAGAGTCCCAGTTTACAGAGCTGCAACCTGTAGAATCACTGCCTGATTTGCTAAGAAAGCTCTCTAGACACTCACAGGCCTCGCTGCTCCATTCTCCATTTCTTGGGAGCAGCCAGTGTTACATCAGTGAAGGTGATTTTTTTCCAAATTCAGTGCCCATGCAGCCATTGAGTACAATGCGAGCAGAATTAGGCCACAGGTGAGTTACCCATCTCTTACCCTTCCCTTTGGTCGGCCTGCCTCCAGGAGACTCCGCTGCCCCAGAAATTACATCCACATCCAGCTCTTTCTCACCTTCATCCTGAAAGCGGTCGCCATTTTCATTAAGGACGCGGTTCTGTTTTTGGAGGATGACATTGACCATTGCAGCTTCTCTACGGTGAGCATGTGGAAAGGAGATCGAGATACTGTTTGGTGTCTTTGGGTATCCTTAACGTATTGTTTCATCTCTTGCCACTGTTTGGGTTTGTATGTGGTTCCCATGTTTGTTGTGGCAGAGCTCTGGCCTTGCCTCAGGGGTCCTGCGCTTCTAGGTGGACAGTGCTTGCCTCAGAAGTTCGCTGTGACCCTCCACATGCCTCTGACCCTTTATTAGAGGCAAGGATCATGGCCTACTGAGCCATCCTCGTCATAGGTCAGTCAAACATGTTTGGGGTGACCCCCCGATAGCTCCAAACTCCCCCTTCAGGGGCAGCCTCTGTAGTGGGACAGGGAGGGATGGAGGAGCCCGGGCCTGCGTTCTGCTCTGGATTCCAGCCCAGGGTCCATAATGGCAGCAGCAGCAGGTAGTAAGTCCTCCAACACCAGAGCTGCAACTTTCCCCAATCTACTTCCCCAACCAACTCCTCCCAGCACCTTTCTCCTGATCACGTCCTTCTGCTCTTCCCCGGCACTTCTTCACTTCCAGTCCTTGGCCTCCTGGCCCTCCTTGAATGAAGGCTTTGAAGCTGGCCTCAGCAGGTCCTCAATGGGCTGCAGGTGTTTTGATTAGCCTGCTGCTTCTGGCAAGCTTTAATTGCCCCCAGGCTCTTCCTGATTGTGCTGCAGTAGCCCCTGCCCTTGTTACACAGGGAAGAGAAAACTGCTCACCCAGACACCAAAATATCTACCTTCCACCAGACTGCAGTAGTCACCTCGTCTGGGTCTGTCACAACATAATGTCCAATAATGAAATTTTGCCTTCCCTGCTCCTTAGACTGAATGCAAGATATCGGTGGTTTTCTGTCACTATTTTATGATGACTAATTTCATGTGGCTGCTGGTAGAGGCTCTTTATCTGAACTGTCTGCTGTTATCATCCTTTCCTCATGGAAGACGGTATTTTTGGTGGCTTGTTCTCTTTGGATGGGGTAAGTGAGGTCTGAGGTGGGACTAGCAATGATCATGTTCTCATTAAAAGGCTTGATCTCACCCACTGGAGTCCATGGAAACATCCCGACTGCAAAGTAAATGCCCATATATGACCAAAAGGATGAACCTCAAAGTGCTTCAGGTTTGCAAAAACCTAAAACCCCGAGAATTTGCAAAACTGGGATTGAGATTTTTTGAGGACACTGTGGACGCACCATCTATTGGTCTGGGTGCCACACTGGAAGCCAAGAACTTCTGGTATTTAATCCTGGCCTTGCCAGTAGCTACCTGTGTGGCCTTGAGTAAACCCCACTAATCTGCGTGCCTTGATATCTCCATCAGTGAAATTAGGATTTATCTCTAGCTAATCTATGCCATGCCCATCAGTATGACCTTCCAGGAGCACTATGAGAATGTATTGACTAGTGTGTTGAAATGCTGACAAGGATTATTGAAATAGACAAATGCTACTCCCCAGGCCAAAATAAGAGTTCCTCACTTAAACTTTCACTGTGATTTTAGGGATGTTAGCTCTGACAGCTGTTCACAGGATTGAGGATTTCTTACAGGAGTAGGAAATTACAAGGTCAGGTCCATCCTGGAGTTACTGTATTATTTTCATATTCACTTATACATCCCTTTGCATCTCTAGAGCACTGCACAAACATTAACTGGCTAATGACTTAAGCTACTTCATGGCTAATGACTTAAGCTACTTTCCTCGTAGGGGAAAATGCAATTCCTGTTAGACATAATGGTCACTGCCATGGGTATTTTCTATGGTCAGTAACTGAGTCCCATACTATCATGCTTGGATTGTTGTAGATAGGATGGAATTGAATTTGGATCGTTAATGAAATCAGAAAAAAAACAGCGCGTGTTTGATTGTTCCTACAGGTTTCCCAACATTTTTTACTGTGGTGTGGATATTCACAAAGCTATATTTCGAAGACACTGCGTAAGTAGGAGTTTCCTACTAGATTCCATACTGTTGTGTTGCATTTTGAATGTTATGATTAGTCCCAGTACTGTAATTTCACTGTGCTGGGGTGATAATCTATTGAAGACAGTGTCTTACATCTTTACACACATTTTGCACAAGTGTGAATGGTTTCACAAACACATGGCAGTAGTGGATCAGCCCCTTAACCGTCCAGTGGTTGTTTTTTTTTAATTAATGGTGAGCTCAAAAAATGTTTAAAATGAAAATATGTTTGGGTATCACTGATGTCCCTGGTAGTTTTGCAGTTGAGGTCAGTAGAATTCAACATTTTACTTGATTTTTTTTTTCAAGTCTGGTAAAAGGATTAAGGGATATATTTCAAACTGTCCAAAACAAACTCACCTTTTGCATGGAGACTATGAAAAGATTAAGGCTAAAGGAAAACTATTTAAAGAAGTGACTGAAAATATGGGAGTGGAGTCATGACCTTTACTATAGCAAAGTTTATAGTCAAAACCTGAGATGTTACACTTCAGGGAAATCAAGGGGTTTCAATTAGATTATACATAGATATATATAAAAGAGATTTGTGCATCTGTCTGTGTGTCTCTCCGTGAGTCCATTTGTTCAAGAACTCCTAAATGGTAAGACTTAGCACCACCAAATTTGGTATGCAGCTTCCTCTTATCCTAACTTAAAGCAAGGACAGGATTTGGCTGTACCAGTAAAATGGGATGTGCCTAGAATTTGATTGTTTTCCATACTATGGAAAGAGAAGGAGAAGAGAGAGGAGGGACACGATCCTCACAGCCACCACTGGAGTAAGTGAGCACAGGGGAGAACTGTCCCACAGGGTCACCATTGGGAGCAGTCACACCACCAATGGAGTGACCAGCTGGGGATGAGGATCCACCTATCTTGCCTGCCACTGGTGAGTGGCCTCCCTGCCTTAAACCCCACCCCCTCACTCACTCACTCAGGGTGTGTCTACACTACCCCCCTCTGTTGGCAGAGGGATGTAAATTAGATATACCGAAAGTGCAAATGAAGCCGGAATTTAAATATCCCGTGCTTCATTTGCATAATTGTGTCCACCACTTTTTTTTCTGAAAAATGAGGAGTACAAGATCTTTCTAAATGGGGCATTTCTGTCAAAAATGCCCCATCTAAACTGCTGGGTTTTTTTTTTCCAAAAAGCCCCGTTTTGAATTTAAAAAGCGGCAGCCACCATTATGCAAATGAAGTGCGGGATATTTAAATCCCGGCTTTATTTGCACTTTCGATACATCTCATTTACATCCCTCTGCCGTCAGAGTGGTGTAGTTTAGACGTACCCTCACAGACAGACAGATAGACAGACAAAATTTCTCATATATAGACATTAGAGCTAGTACTTGCATGGAGAGAATGTCTCAAGGGTCAAAAAGAAATCTTCAAACAACCGTGTTGTTTTTTATTTGGCTCTCAGCATCAGCCCTTATAACCAAATGTCAGTCATATTTTTGTTCATGGAGCAATAGTTTTCTGGCTATCACTCAGTATGTTAAGGGTCAGTAGAAGTTAAGATGGCATGTAGCTACAAAGAAGTACCGGGACCCTTTCTCAGTATGTTAAGGGTCAGTGGAAGTTAAGATGGCATGTAGCTACAAAGCTGGGTTGTCAGATGGAATGTAGCCCCATTCCATCTTAAAAAGGAGGCTGTAGTCAGCCTCTTCATAATTCCATTGACCCTAATGTCTTCTTTTTCCGTGCATGTATTCCAGTGACTATGTATACCTATGTTCATTTACCTGCTACTTTTCCAGATGCTGGAGTATTCCAGTGACTATGTTCATTTACCTGCTACTTTTCCAGATGCTGGGATATTAACCAGGGCTCGCCTTACTGGTGGCTAATCAAAGGACCTATTATCATTTCTGTTGGGGTAGGTGTGATGTTCTAATCTTGGAAATGTGAATCGAAAAGAAACCCATTATGAGGGTGGAAAAGGGCCTGAAGCTTGAATACTTTTACCTGCACTACTACTTCCAAGTGGGAGCAGAAACTCAAGCACTGATCCACTCAAGGGATCATCCCATTGGGCTAAAGGTGAATCCTGCTGTATCTCAGAACAAACACTTCTCCCTAAAATTTCAAAGACTTGACATTCCCACTGACGTTAATGGGAGTTATTGGGTGGCTAAAGCTCTTTGAAACGCTTTGAAAATCCAGGGTGTGAGTGAAGACCCCAGATTTAGCAAAGCACTGAAGGAGAATTCCAGGCAGATCTTACTGCATTGTGTTTCCAGTTTGAGCTAATAATAGGAGTTATGGCCCTGGAGTTACACATGTACTGGGGATTCATAACTGGCTGTGGTTAATGGGCGGGGATGCTCAATTTCTTCCAACCAGTTGTTAATCCTAAGGAAATACATAACAGAAAATTTTATGGGTGCGGTGCACTAGGCTAGCATTAAAACTGCTGCAAATGGGTTACTTAATTGGATGGCAGCACAGGCTGTGCATAAATAATAAGGATTGTTGAAGGGGTCTTATGTGCAGGGTACAGCAGTATGAAGGCAATATCTGAAAAACTCCAGACCGTTATCAGCTTTATTCTGCTGTGAGTCAGATTTCAAATGCCCTATGGCTCCACTGTTTTTGCCTCACTATGTTTGGCTGGCTAGGTGTGAATGGCATGCAAGCAAGCAAGGACATGTTTTTCATGCAGCCATCTAATTAACGCATCATAAGTGAATGAAATGAAATGAAATCACAATGTATGGGGAGACATGGGTATCATTAGACCAAAGCTGTCATTCATCATCACCTGAAGGATTGATGGATGCCCATTACACACGGCACGCAAGGACAAATTTACTGCTAGTAGCAAGTGATGTAGCAATCTTGGTTTCAATGGAGCTGTGACATTACATGGGCAGAAAATTTGACTGGTCAGCTCTAAAGGTATCACCTATAGCTCAGTGCAGCAATTATAATTACCTCAAACCAGAAAAATTAAGAATGCTGCACACTATAAAGTAATGATCAATTACTCCAGGGAGTAAAAAATAGAGGTGCTTAATAGATATGTGCTTCACGGAATAGCTGAGTTAGTCTGTTACAGAAAACAAAAATAACAAAAAGCTCATGTACCATGAAAGCTCATGTACCACGAAAGCTCATGGTTAACAAAAAGCTCATGTACCACGAAAGCTCATGTACCATGAAAGCTCATGCACCATCTACATGTTTTGTTAGTCTATAAAGTGCTATCACTTGTTGTTTTTAATAGATATGGTCTTCCAAAGAAGACAGCGCAGAATTATACGCAATATCCTTAGGGATATTTTGCTGCAGTCTTTTTAAGACAGGAAGTTTTTATTTATGTACCATAATGTTTGTTTTATTGTATAGCTTTCACAGTATGTGCAGGAATGGCTAGTAATTATTTAAGTCACTATAATTTCACAAGAATGTTTGTTAGTAAAAAGTAACACAATCTTCTTTTTCCCCAAAACCATGAAAACAGGTCAACTTTATCCTTTTTATCAACATCGTCAGAATCTTGCTAAAAAAGCTGGACCCGAGACAAATCAACTTCAATAATTCATGTCAGTACAGGTAATCCAGTGCCACTCACAGTGTGAGCAATGCTTCCGTCTGTTATACTTTCCAAATGGAGAAGCTGAGTCAGAAATTAAAGGACATGCCCAAGGTCACAGGGCAGAATCATTTTCAGAAGCAGGATTAGCATTTAGGGTGCTTGGCCCCAGCTCTGTTGTCCCTCTGAACAGAACTTTTATTTATTCTTACAAAGAAGTAAGGCTACCAAAAGATAGCAAGCAAGGTTGGTTATATGGTACCTCCACACCAATCAGAAGCACTGGAAATTTCTCTCCACCTTGTTCTCATAGGACTGAAAAATTTAGAGCTAGGTCCTTTTTTTAACCTATTGCTCATTGCTCATTACTAGAGAATTTCTAGTTCACCTGTCCTACACACTTCAGAAGAAAGACTTTTTTTTTTGCCTCTTCTTATTTCTTGCCGTAGACGGCTTTCAAAATCGACGCTGCTTCTCATTCCATTATTTGGGACACATTATATTGTCTTCAACTTTCTCCCTGAATACATCAACCTGGGACTGCGGCTGTATTTAGAGCTCTGTATTGGATCTTTCCAGGTAAGTCTATTGAAATGTTGTAACAATGTGCATGCTTCGGTAGCTTGTCTAGCCCGAACAGATGTCATTGGTGTGCACATTCAAGTGGGATGGCGATTCAGACTCAGTCTGTGGAATTGCACAGAACTTCAAACTCTTTGTTGCAATGGCCAGCTTGTGGTGAGGTGACGCAAATCATCACATTTAAAGCCTCCAGAAAATCACCCAGCCTATGTCTACTCTGCACGCTTATTTCAAAATAACTCACGTTATTTCAAAATAACAGACTACACGTCAACACAGCATGTCCAGAATTTAGAAATAATTTCGAAATAACAGGCTTCTTACTTCGCCTTTTGTAACCCTCATTTCACAAGGGCTGTGTCTAGACTGCAGGGTTTTTTCGAAAAAAGTAGCCTTTTTTCGAAAAAACTTCACCTGCGTCTAGACTACAACCACGTTCTTTTGAAATTAAATCGAAAGAACGTGGCTTTTCTTTCGACGGCGGTACTCCTCATTTCACGAGGAAGAACGCCTTTCTTTGAAAGTGCTCTTTTGAAAAAAGGCATTCTTGACTACAAACAGGGCTTTTTCGAAAGAGAGCATCCAGACTGCCTGGGTGCTCTCTTTCGAAAAAGCGGCTTGCTTTTTCGAAAGTACTGCTTGCAGTCTAGACGCTCTTTTTCAAAAGAGACTTTTTCGAAAGTATCTTTCGAAAAAGCCTCTTTCGAAAGAGGCTTGCAGTCTAGATGTAGCCCTTAAGGAGTAAGAAAAGTCAAAGGAAAAGTGTTCTTCCTTTGACTTCATGCTGTGTAGACAGCGCAAACCAAGTTAAGCTACTTCGACTTCAGCTGCTCAATTAACATAGCTGAAGTTGTGTATCTTAACTCGACTTTAGCCTGCAGTTTAGACATACACCCAGTGGGTATCGATCTTTCATTTCTAAACAGTAAGGAGTCAATTGATTCCCCAGTCTCATCTCCTACACACTGCTGTTGCACTGTGTAAGTCCTTAGATGAACCGTACAAGGTCAGGGCAGAATTCTTCAATGCAGGAATCAGCCTTATACTGCCCCCGTAGCAGATCCCAGAACAGGAAATGTCCCAGTGGCATTGACTCCTCGGACATTCAGGGCAGTGGGGAGGTGCCATAAGTTAGAGCAACCCCATGGCTGCTCTGGTTTATGGTAGGGGCTATTTTGATCCCCTGCTTTGGTCCAGAGTCTGGACAACACAAAGGTCATTGAAAGCCCCTCTCTTTGTCCTACCTCTTCCCGTGACATATGTTGCACACTCTGTCCCACAATGTCTAGCAGCTATACTCACTGAGCACCTTCCTCTTTGGCTTTTGACTTGTAATGCTGCTTCCCGCTGGTCAATGATGATCCCACAGTCTTCTAAGACATGTAAATCAACAGAGACCTATGAGCGGTGCTGATTTACACCAGATGAGCAGTAAACCCATACACTATGTCTAGACTGCAGGCTTCTTTCAGAAGAAGCTTTTCTGGAAGAGATCTTCCAAAAAACTTCTTCAGAAAAAGAGCATTTACACAGCAAAAGCACGTCAAAAAAGCGATCTGCTTTTTCAAAAGATAGCGTCCATACTGAATGGACACTATCTTGCATGTAAGCTGTGATTACTACGAACAGAGTGACCACCAGGACACCTGTGCTTTTTCCTCTTTCCTCTTCTTTTGAAAGAACTCTCTCTTCTCCGGCCACACACGTCTTTCAGAAAAAGGCTTCTTCCTCATAAAAAGGGGTTTACCAATGTTGGGAAAACCCCTCTGTTCCTTCGATTTTTTTTGAAAGAACATGATTGCAGTGTGGACGTAATTGAAGTTTTTTGGGAAAAACGGCTGTTTTTCTGAAAAAAACTCTGTACTGCAGAGCTTGGACCAAAGAGATGAGGGAGTAGGAAGGGCCCCAGTGAAGGCAACCTTAAGGTGCTCTTGGGTTCCTAATCTTTGCTAAACTGCTCAGGGTTGTGGGCTGAAGCAAGGTAGATTGAGAGGGCCTAGGCTCCCCTTCCAATTCTCCTCTACATTAAGGAGGAACTGAACACCCTAGCCAGTATTCAGTGCTTCCATTAAGATATAATTCCATTCTTCCTCTCTAAAGTCTCTATGTGGTTTCAGTCTCTTCTCTGAATTTCAGTCTCGGGGACTGTCCATCATCATTAAATTATCTTGCAATGCAAGAAAAGATGCTAAAAGGGCCAAATCGTCAGCTGGTGTAAACTAGGCATAGAACAGTTGACATTGTTTGTACTGTGCAGATTTGCGCCAATGGAGGCTCTAGCACAAAATGCTTCCTGAAACGCTCTAGGGCTTGGTTCTGATCTCAGGTGTTGGACACCAGGCATAAGTCTAGAGATGTCACTGGAGTTTTGGTGTCAAGCCACTGTATATGAGATCCAAATCAGGCCCACTGTGTTTCATATTGCTGCCAGGCAGTGTGCTATAGAGATAAAGCTTGTGATTGGGTATTTTGAGAAACAATGAAAATAAAGCTAAGCAGTGACCGGAAAGCAGCCTGATCCAGAACAGATCAGGGTGTTTTGCTGATTTACAATAGTGTTCAGGGTTGGAAAGCAACCTGATCCAGAACATATCAGGGTGCTTTGCTGATTTACAATAGTGTTCAGGGTGCTTTGCTGATATACACTTGCTGAGCCTCTGGCAGACAGCATATTGGGCTATAGAAACAGCTGTGATTTTGAGCACCACGTTACAGATATAAGGCCAGATTTACTCCTGGTCGAGGAGATTATCAGCTGGTGAAAACTGGAGTCGCTTCACTGACTTTGACAGGGTGACACTACTTTTACACCAGATGAGGATCCAACTGGCAAACTGTGTGACTTGACTTGGTGCAGCTCAGAATATGTTATGCTCACTCCAATGTATAACATGGGTGTGTGTCATCCCAGACTGATGTAGCTGAAACAGCGTTTTAAAATGGTGTTATCATTTAACTGTTTTGCTTCTTCAGGGATTTATTGTAGCCGTTTTGTACTGTTTCCTTAATCAAGAGGTAAGAGAACTACATTCCCTTCTTCATTATTGATAGAAATGAAAGCCATATGTAGTTAATACCTAATTTCACACTGGCAGGTTATCAGTTCAGCACCATTGCCTAGTGACATGGGAGTTAATGCGGCTGAATAGTGCCTTGGATTATCTTCATGAGAATGAAGCCACCTAGTGGGCAGAAACGTTGTTGCCATTTTGTCCTGAATTTTAATAGGACGTTGTTACCACAGAATCATAGAACACTAGAATTGAAAGGAACCTTGAGAGGGCATCAAGTCCAGTCCCCTGCCCTCACGGTAAAACCACACCCACCTAGATCATCCCTGATAGATGTCTGTCCAACCTGCTCTTAAATCTCTCCAGTGATGGAGATTCCACAACCTCCCTAGGCAATTTATTCCAGTGTTTAACCACTCTGACAGGAAGTTTTTCCAAATGTCCAACCTAAACCTCCCTTGCTGCAATTTAAGCCCATTGCTTCTTGTCCTATCATCAGAGGTCAAGGACAACAATTTTTCTCCCTTCTCCTTGTGACACCCTTTTAGGTACTTGAAAACTGCTATCTCTGTTTATTATTATTTATTATTTATACTGGGGTAGGTTGAACCGTGGACCACCACACAGATACACTGGTGCTCTACAAACACAGAATAAAAAGAAAGTCCACGCTCCAAAAAGCCAGCAGATTTTTTTATTAAGTTAGAAATAATGTCAACTTTAGAGATTGTTTCACAAAAGGAAGATCATGCCAGACCAATGATGGATAACCAAGGCTTATGAATGGCCTTCCTTTGTCTCATTGGACCGCAAGATTGAAATCAGTCATGTGCACTAACTGTGACCCCAAGAAAAAGATTGAATGCATTCATATATGGGATGTTGAATATTTAAAAACAAGCAGAAATGCTTTAATTGTTCATAAATTAACCAAACGGTCATCAACTTCAAATAATAAAAAATAAATATTCACACTTACTTTACAATATGAAATCCCTACTTGGCTTCTTCCCCGCCTCCTTTCCCAAGCACGTCCCATCCCTGCTCTTCCCCCTCTCTCCCAGCACTTCTGTAGCTCCATGAATTGGCTGTTTCATGCCTTGTCCTCCCTTTTCCCCTCTCCCTCTCAGAGCTTGAATGCCGCAGGAAATCTCAGAGCATGAACTTGCACCCTGATCACTTTGGCTAATAGCCATGGAGGAACCTATCCTCCATGAATTTATCTAACTCCTTTTCAAACCCACCTATCACTTTGGCCTTTGCAACATCCCATGGCAATGAGTTCCACAGGTTGACTGGACAGTGGGTAAAGTAGTCCTTCCTTTTGTTTGTTCAACCTCTGCCAATTAATTTCAGTGCAGTGTGATGTGGTAAATAACACTTCCTTATTCACTGTCTCCACACCATTCAGGATCTCTATCATATCCATTTTTCCAGCTCACCAATGAGTACTGCTGTTAGTTTTTAGCTGTATAGTAATTCAGTACCAACTAAGATCAGATCCCAGTAGTGCTAGGCACTATATAAATATAGAGCAAAAAGATAGTCACTCTCCAATAAGCTTATCATTGAAGTAGACACGCCACACACAGGGCAGGAGACTGGAGTATAGCCAAAACAGCAGAGTTAGTGGTCAACAAATGACACATTAATACCAAATTTCTTTTCCAAAGATTCCTTGGAAATTTTGGAGGATAAGATAACTATGGAAAGGAGAGGGGGCATAGCTGGGAGGGTGGGGGAAGGAAGGAGGAGAACATGGTGAGAGAGAGGAGTGAAGCAAAGGTAAAGAGGTGGTTAGTGAATGGGTAGATGGGCATGGTTTGGAGCAAACAGCCCATCAGCATAGGGTAGAGAACTCCTTGAGTGAAAACCACAAATAGCATCCAGATGATGTCGCTCAGATCTGCTGGAACCTGCTGCAGCACCAGCTAAATCTGCTTCCATATCTGCTCTTGATTGACTGACAAGGAGCCCCAACAGCAGTAATGGATCTAGTCCAGAAGTTTGGCTCTGAATCCCCTACAACGCTGGGAAAGTTTGCATCAGAGTTTAAACTTAGTTGCTTTGATACCTCTCAGAGATGGAGAGTCCAACACATCTCTAGGTAAGCTGTTCTGATAGTTAATTATCCTCATTGTTTAAAAAAAAATGTTCCTTCATTCTAGTCTGAATTTGTCGAGTTTCAGATTCCAGCTATTGCATCTCATTGTTTTGTCCCCCTCTCTAACCCGCTAGATTAAACTCTACTAGCAAAGTTTCCTTTCCCCATGTAGGTACATGTAGATGTGATCAAACCATTACTTAACCATCTCAAATAAATGAAGTAGACTGAGATTCTTAATTCTCTCACTTTAAGCCATGTTTTTAGATCTCAGCTCATTCTTGTAGCTCTTTTCAGAATTATTTCCAATACTGCCACATCTTTTTTGGAATGTGGGCACTTCTGTGATGGAATCTGCTTAGCCCCTATGAGGCAGGGTGCCTGCTCTGTGGAAACTAAAGATGAGAAGGAAAGAACAAGCAAGAGCAATTTACACATGCACACAGACAGGTGCACCTTCTCCCCTGGCACAAGCTTTGAAAATCGCAGGATCAGAGCTTAATAAATGACACACTCTAGTAGAAAGAGTTTGTGTTAATTAAATCACTATCCTGATCATCAGAAGCACATAGGAAACACTATGTTGGGCAATATGTGCTATTGTTTCATGAATAGCTTTAAAATATTCTAATTAAAACTGTACGGCAGTAAAAGCAACTAGTTACAACAAAGGAGTCAAAAATCAAAAAGAATGTCAAGTCAGTAAATACATAACAGATAATATCAGTTTTCACAGGTGCCTTGTTAAAACTAGAGTTTTAGTACTAGGCTTCTACCACTGTGTGATCTCCAACAGAAGCAGTAGTGATGGGAGTGTTTGTGTTAAACCATCTTAAACTGTTGGCATTTTAAACCATGGTTTCATTATGCACTGTTCTCAGCATTGTGAGGAAGGTAATGTGAGCCAATAGCTCGTGCCTTGGCTAGGAAAATGGAGTGTTGGCCTGCCAAGTGTCATTGGGCAAATCGCCTCACAACTTAACTGTGCCTCAGTTTTGCTCTCTGTAAAATGGAGCTAAGGATACTGACATTCTTTATAAAGTTTTTGAGATCTATTAATAATAAGCAGTACATCAGTGCTAGGCATTATTTTTATGGCATGATGGAACTGGTTGGCTATATTAGCACTCCTCTGTTCCTACCACCAGTGCTAGAGGTAGGATGGGAACATTTAAAGACTAGGTTAGTGTAGACACAGCTGTACATATTGCATGGAATTCACCCTTATAGTGTGGTTCTCTGCCCCCCTCTTGAGGATTGGTGTTTTAACTAAAGCAGCAGATACTCACATTCTGAGGTCCATTTTCATAGTTTATTATTTGTGGGTAGTGCCTTGGAGCCCCTGACATGACATTAGCCACTAGGCTTGATGTAGGTGTTCATTTTAAATGGAAGAGGTGTGTCATTGGTTCACTGGTTAGATACCATGACAGATAATGCACAGAATCAGAAGCAATTACTACAGTCAAATAGATATGCCATGAATTTATTAGGGGCAATATGGGCTAGTGGTCTGAGCATGGAACTAGGAGACATGACTCCTGAATGTTAATCCCATCTCTGTCCATCTAGGTCTATGTCTTCACTGCATGCTTATTTTACAGCTTATTTCACGGCATGCTTATTTACACGTTTATTACACAGCAAGCCTATTATTTTGAAATAATGAGCTTCTTATTCTGACTTCTGTAACTCTCATTTCATGAGGAGTAAGGAAAGCTGAAGGAAGAGTGTTCTTCCTTTGACTTTCTGCTGTGTAGACAACACCTAATGCAGAGTTAAGCTACTTCGACTTCAGCTATGCAATTAACGTAGCTGAAGTTGCGTAGCTTAACTCGACTTTAGCCTGCAATGTAGATGTGCCCTAGGTGTTTATCATGATTTATTATTTTAGAGTACAGGAGGCCCCCGATTTGCGACCATCCGAGTTCTGACCTCCCACATTTATAACCATTTTTGTAAGTGTGGAAGGGCCGAAAACCTCCAACTTACATCCTTGGCCCGCATTTACTCCTCTCGTCAATGAGGGTTCAAGTTACAACGCCCCCGAATTACGACGCTTCCCCCAGAACCAAACACGTTGCAAGTTGGGGGCCTTTGGACAGATCCTCAGAGGTCCTAGCTCCTATTACAAGCAATGGGAGCAAGGCATGTAAATATTGTTATGATTCTGGGTTTCATCTCTTTGTAACAGGGATAATAATATTTAATTTATCTAACTCATACTGTCTTGGGGAGAGTTTTTTTTAACTTTGCATGATTCTTAGATGGTACTGTGCATGTTGTAGAAGGTAAGAGGCTGTAAAAGGTATTATTATAAATTAGGTTGCTGCTTATTGTATAACTACTGTTTGTGCTAGTCTGGATTAATAGTTCTAACAGCAAGACTGAAGTTTTAGTAATCCTTTATTTGCCTATGAGAAGAAATGCTGTTATGAAAATGCTGAACATTTTAGAAATGCTGTTATGAAAATGCACAAACTCCTTTAAAATTCCTCTTTTTTTTCCCTGAAAATCAGAAACAGATGGTAACATTTTTGGAAAAAAAACCTCCAGCTGCTTTTTTAAATTAAAAATGTTGAAATTTCAGCATTCAAATGCCTTCTAGTATTATAGTTGGTTGAAAATATTTGGTAAAATCACACTGAGATTTTTTTTTCCTTTTTATTTAGAAATTTCATTAAAATTGTCACTTTTGAAAAATGTTGACTCATTCTCGTGACAAACATTCCCCATAATGCATACACAAGCTCCATACCATGAATGTGCATGTCCAAATCCCCTCTCCCTGGGCTCATTTGGTCTAGAGATGAAATCAATGCAACGGACAACTAACAACTTCCTTTCCTTGTCAGGTGCAAGCAGAGATTGGCCGAAGATGGCACGGGAAGAGCTATGGATTTATGCCAGTGTGGAGGAAAAGGACTAGGTGGACCATGCCATCTAGTTCTGGGATGAAAATCACTACCTCGGTGTGTTAGGGATGGAGAGCTACCAGACTGGCAGCAATGGTGTGTAGGAGCCTGAATGTGATTTAGGAAACTGAATGTAAATCATCTGACTGTAACTTAAAATGCCAGAGTGAATTAGAGAAGTCTAATCTAGTCCCATAGAAATTCCAGCCACAGACCTCTATAGAATGTAACAAGCATTACAGCATTCGATCAAACACTGATTGGCTGTTCATCTCATCGTTTTCATGTGTTTCGTATTCAGCACAGCAACAGCACCATAGCAACAACTTCCTCTACTTTCACCCAGGTTTTGGACTGTTTTTTCATAGACTACACATCAAAGCACATCAACTGGAAGGTCACCACATGTATCCGAAAGTGACACGGTAAAAGTGCCAGTTCTGGAATGCATTACCACCCTCTTGGGAACTGGGCTGAAACTGCTGAATGAGTAGACTAGCAAGCAAGAAACAGAATGCTTCTTGAGATTACAGCACAATGTTATCAGTCTCCTCATAAGCATGGAGATTCATAGTTGAAGCTAAACCCAAGTGTAGAATGGACTCTCAATATTGTGCAAAAGGTGTTTCACAAAGTATGGTCCCTGGACTACCAGTGAGGTAGAGAGTCTATCTTGGTAGCCTACAGGTGACATGTCTGAGAATTAACTAGTAGGAATCTGAGCTGTTGGAGGAAGAAAATCCCATGGGGGTGGGGGGTAAAAGAAATTGAGCTAAGTAACTAAAACAAGAAGGGAAACCAATAAAGCTGCTCTTTGGAGAAAGAGAATATGCTTGTGGGGCTACTGGTAAATTTTAACTTGAGAAGGAAAGACAAGTAGAAATAAACAGCAAGTAAAAATGGATTTGATGCCCTAGAAAAACAAAGGGAGAATGAATTAGTAAGAAGGAGAGGCTAGAGGTGGTCAGGAAATTACTGTTTTTCCCTGTGAATTTTTTTGAGGAAAAATAAAAGAAATATTCAATTGCCATTTTTTTCTTGCTTTTTCAGGCTTTTGTAAAAAAAAATCCTTTTTTGCCAGTTGTTTGGAAAACAAATTCATGTTTGACAAAAATTTTCATTTCTTTTGTAAAGAGTTGGCTCTTACCGATTAGCACCTGCAAATAATAGCATGACTGCCAATTTCCCTGCACTAATGTCTGCGCTGAGAGGAACATCTTGCCTGTGAGGTGGGCCAGATCCTCACAGTTACTTAGGCTGCCAGTAGAAGTTAGGAGATTTAAATACCTTTCAGGATCTGGGTCACAGGCTTGATTCCTTTTGTAGTGTCCCTGAGCACTCGAAATAACAGGAACATAGGAATTGTGGGGCTCAGTCTCAGCCACAGAAAGGCCAGATACAGGAGAGCCGACTGCCTTGCCAGCTCCCTTGGCAAGTTGGAAGGGGAGAGGCTTCAGGCAGAAGGGACAGGGCCTAAGCACCGCCCAGACTATGCTGTGCCCTCCTGAGCACTCAGCGCCATGTGGGGCCCAGTGATTTGAATCACCCAGCCCTAGGGCAGTTGCTCTTTTATCCCCACCCCCCAGTGTCTTCAGAATATAGCTTTGTGACTATCCACACATCCCATGTGGAAATGGGGGTTAGCCTCCTTGCCACCATTCTCCATCCTCCTTCCTCTAACTCACAGGCCTGCTTTCTACACTAAGAAGAGATGCACAATTCCCAGCTGTGAAAATATAATACATTTGTGCACTGTCATCTGTCTTACATGGAACCCGTTCCCTTGTCTGCATAGAACCTGGGGCACTTTGATGGGCAGTACCTAGAAATCATGTTGATCAAATTCATGTATGTGACCCAAGGTGAAATGAGGGCTTTCCAGCATGTAGGCCCTTATATAACTACCTATAAGAATTGAATGGTGTAGTCAATGTCAACTAGATCGAAAGTACTGTCAGATTAAACCCCTGAGGCGATTAATTGAGTTTTCACTCCAGACACCAGGAATTGTCCAGCCTCAATTAGATTGTTAGTTTTGCACATGATCGGGTAGAGAGCGTTTTAGACCTTTGAGTTTTTAAAATCTTCACATTGGAAACATATCTCCGTGGAGCTCATAGAGTCACCACATTGAGGAAAAAAGGGAGAATGAGACTGATGGCAAATAGGTATCCTTCTTTTACTCATTGGAGCATTCTTTGTTTGGGGTTGTGAGTTTTTATTTCGCCTATTCCCATTTCATGACCAGTGATATTCGATATTCCGTAATTAGGACACATAACCGTTGACTTTTTTTGTTCTCCGTTTTTACGTGGTTTATTATCCTGGCTTGGAAATCTTCAGAATATTTATCTCACACGAACCTTCTGTCTCGACTGGTCCATTATTTTTGGCTCCTGTCTGAGAAGGACATAGCAGATTTATAACATGTTAATACATAGCCTATTTGTGTCTGTATACCCTCTGGCACTGTGAGCCAAATACAGAGGCCAGTAATGTCAAAGGCCACTGAAGTCTATTGAGAAAGGGCCATTGGCTCAACCATTATGCCACTAAGGTCTGATGGCACTAAAACAACTCAATAAACATTAGTGTAATGAAGGTTAAAACAAGCAGGTGGCGAAGGAAGCGTTGTTTTCTGAAATGGGGTGTATCATTCACCTTACCACCACCATACCAGTTCTTTGGTCTGAGCAAGGCTCTTCTGTCTTCTAGAAGAGTGTTTCTCAACCAGTGGTAGAGGTAGCCTTAAGGGTACCCAAGAGAAGTCTGGAGGGTACGTCAACACAACTGAAATTTGCAGAAAACTGAATTTTTTATTATTTTTGTACTTTTTACACCCAAAAATTTCATTGCCTGCCCGGCTACGATTAAGTTGTTTAAACAAATGTGTTGCAATGGTAGAAACAAATGTTGTGTGTCCGAAAACTATAGGTACTGGGGGTACTTGTAATATTTTTTAAAGGGATACTTTATAAAAAAGGTTGAGAAACACTGTTCTAGAATGTCCTCACTCTCACTCCACTGTATTGTTTTTGGGATGTCGCCCATGACTGCAGTACCAGAATACACATCCAAATTCAGGGTTTTTTTTTGTTTGTTTTTTGGTTTTTTTTTGTAATTAACATGGGAAACCATAAGCCAACCTCTCTATGGGAGCGTAGGAAGAAACTTTCCCTTAGGGCAGTTTTTCTTGTCACTCACTGCACAGGTGCTTTCTCCTCTAACTCCCACTTTCTCTCTCCCTCCGGGAGCATCCCGAATGCAGCAAAACAACTGTTTCCTGGCATTGGGAGGATGGGAGAAGAATTGGTCAACAGGACTGTAAGATTGTGTCTACACTGCATCTGTAACTCAAATTAAGCTACACAGTTTGTGTAGCATATTCCAAGTGTATTTTGAAACAGCTTATTTCAAAATTTGGTGCTGCCTAAACAGTGCCACTTTTCAAAATAAACCACTATTCCAAAATGTCCTTTAATCCTCATGGAATGAAGTTTACAGGGACGTAGGAATAGTGAGCCTGTTATTTTGAAATGTATTTTGAAAAAACGGGCTGGTTTAAAAGATGTGAAATAGCACCGCTGTCCAGACCACCTCTGTGGGCAAGAGGGACTGGAGAAGAGAGGAAACTTAGTTGTTGGCGTGTGATGAAAACCCGCTAATTTTTCTCCATGGGTGCCCCAGCCCCAGCGCACCCACAGAGTCACCGCCTGACTCATTGATGTTTGCATAGTTTCTTGTACTTTTCTCTGAAGCATCTAATATGAATCACTTTTGCAGCTACCGTTTTGAACTGGATTGATCACCAGCTTGATCTGGCATGGCAGGTCCTGACTTTGCATTTTTACTCCAGCTGGGTTTCTTTTTGGATAAAAAGATTCAAATGAAATGTTTGAAATTCAGAAGGTTGCTCTATTTCCACAGGGAACAGTGAAAAATTGAATTACAAAACCAGCCATTTCATGAGAACATAATGAAAAGCAATATACCCAGGCTACAAAAACATCCACAAATGAAATTGATATTTTTTCTTTCATTTCAAGAATTTCTCTGTGAGGCTCATTTCTGCACACAACTGTTAGCAGGCAGAACAGAGAATGAATTTGCTCAAAAGAAGCAGATATTTTCTTGCTGCTGTTTCCTTTAAATGTCAATTATTGAATGGTTTCTTTGGGATTTTATGGTGTGAATTCTCTCCATCTCTTTGAGGTAATTTGTCAATAGAAGAGCAGAGCCTTTCCTGAGTCTGTTCTCGCTTACCAAAAAGAGTTGTGCTACAAATCTATTATGCTATAATTGTAATGTGAATGTCTGTGATAACACAAAATTACATATTTTAGGATTATATCCCAACGTTTGCCAGTGTAATCTTGATTAACAGGTGTTACCTATAATAAGAAATTAAACAATTTTTACATTTTTTTTTACATTTTACTGTGTTTTAAGTATTTTTCCATTTTACAAGTTTTACATTTTTCATTTTTTGGAAAAGGAGTAAAATTTACAGTGAATTCAAATAGCCCTGAGTTGGCCTATCATTAAGAGTTTTCCTACATACGCATACTTACTACACCAAGTTATTTTCCTTCAGGTTCTTGGCTTTCAAATGCAATGTTCAGTCAAAATGTGTATGAAAAGTGAAAGGAGCTGGAATTCCTTGAGCTAATTATACTAACTACCACCATTTTGTCTTTGTGGCTCAAATTGGAAGTAGACTGTGCCTATGACAGTGACAATTCAGGCCCAGTGAGTCTAGCCTTTTACACTCTTATTTGTGTTTCTAATGGGGGAGGAGGCGGAAGAGAAGGGAAACCTCTTTAAAGACATATTTTACAGTCCTAGCACTGAAGCTGTGATCCATCAGATTTCACAAGCTTTTTTTCTGCTGTAAATGAGAAATTCCAAAATACAACCAAGGCTACTCTTGTGGTACAGTAGGTTATATTCACATCTCTCAGGTGATGTCTTCACCCTGGGGAAGATTGACGTTGACGTGATTCATCTTTCAGAGTTTGACTTAGTGGGTCTAGTAAAGACCTGCTAAATTGAATTCAGAGAGCACCCACAACGGCAGCCAGTACTTCTGCTCCTTCAAGGAGTAAGGGAAGCCGATGGGAGTGTTTGCTCCCATTGGCCTCCTACTGTGGGGACGGTGGGGAACCTCAAGTTAAGTTGTGTCAAGTCCAGCTATGTAATTAACATAGCTGGAGTTGTGTATCTTGAGTCAACCATCCTCCTTAGTGTAGAGCTGTCCTCAGTCAGTACAGAATCAATGACCTGGCAACATTTAGTGGCAGTGCACCCATTGGGTGTGGGAGATCTACTGAAACTGTAAGCTCTTTAGTCAAGGACTTTATCTTCTTATCTTCATAGAATCCTTTCATGTTCATAGCAATATAGATAACAATAGATAATTAATAGTTCTGGGAGTGCTGTGCAGCTGCAGAACTCCTTTTCTATTTATAGCTGAGAATAATTGTCCTATTATAGCTTGTTGAATCTGTTTTCTATGCATTAAATTTTATACCCAGGTAGTACTGTCCCTTGTTCTCTGGTCTGTCATTCTGACCTCAAAACGTTGAGGCCTCCTTGTTCATTTAGGCAGCTCCATTAATTTCGCAGTCTATCTATATTAGGGTTCCTATTGCTGCCTATCACCACAGCTCCTTTTTGTGCAAAAGCCTCTTATGCAAAAACGACCCCTAAGGAATTATGCAAATGAAGCATAGCAATATGCTAATCTATGGTTTGTTTGCATAGGCTATTGCACAAGCGGGATGCAGTTTAGACGTAGCCTTAGAGTGGTTCACTGTCCCATGCAGTTGCACCTAGACCACAGCAACAGATAAGAACAAGAGATCTCTAGGCTGGATCTACCCTGGCACGTTCTTGTGTGAAAATGGCCGCTCTTGCACAAAAGCATGCCGCCTGTCTACACTGGACATGCATTCTTTTGCAAGTAAACTGACGTTGTACTGTAGAAAATCAGGGCTTCTTGCGCGAGAACTCTGATGCTCCATCTCAGAAAGAAGCCCTCTTGCGCAAGAGCTCTTCCAGAAGAGGCCAGTGCAGACAGGCAACATAAATTTCTTGCGCAAGAAGTCCCTA